ATCACCGATTATCACACATAAAATCATCTAATCATGCATTCAGTTCTTCTTCCCACGGCTGTCTCGGATTCACTTCGAGAACTGACTAACACGGACTAACTGCTTCGACTGACTGACTTCTGTTCTGCCGAATACTCGTTCCTAAGTTATTACAGTTACTCTTATAAACCCTCAGTTGGACAGGTGAAAAACGCAGCTTGCTTCACTGTTGCGTGATCGCCATGTTTACAGAGGTGTTACTTTGGCAACACTGCCGAGAGTTGTTTACTGCTGCATAGCAACCAGTGCAGTTCGGCTCAGATCGGCTCAGCTCAGCACAACACGACATAGAGAAACAGCGCTTTCCTTATTGTTGCATAACCTTGTTCTTCTCTTGCGTAACTTGGCAACCAACTCATTCCACATCCCCTTGCCCAACAAGGATTTGACATGTCGCGCTATATTTATCAGTATGGGTGATCATGTGTCTGAATATAACTTCTTTTTATATTAGGATATTTCCTTATGGAGCAGATAACAATAGTAGTTGTCTAGTCACTCTTTAGGATTGCTTCTTCTTCAGTTTTATGCCCAAAAAGTGGGTTAAGTTGGTTGTTTAGCCTCCTCACACTATTCAGGAATCCAATTTAACCCTCAGATTCATAGGGTTCCTTGCTGTATGCCAAACCCTGGAGAGTGAGATATTTATTCTCACATTTTTGAAAAGCAAACTTGGTTCTCATGAAAGTTATGTAATTTCTCACACAATCTTCCTCTCATGACCACATTTTGTAAGATTTTCAGAAATTATTCTGGCAGTAAAATGTCCATATTTTATTATTTATGCCACCATGACTGCAGTAAGTACCAGTTCCTGACTGTTTCATTATTTTAGAACTAAATAATTGAAATAGGAACCATCTGAAATGAGATCCACTGAATGACTATAGAGAGTAGCACATGTCATTAGCCTTGATACAAATCAGATTTAAGTAGAAATGCATTCTAGTCAAAGTAACATACCAATATGTACAACAAAGTCTTTCATCTCTAACACAGATCTCTGCATCTGGGTGCAGTGGATGGGCAATGTGAAGGTTAAAATCCATTGAAGAGTGCTTTCTTCTGGGGTGTTACACCAGTTTACCATCATTTTGGAGGAATGTATTGGTTCCATCTTTAGGGTTGAAGAGTAACCCAGAATAGCAGGAAACAGGTTGCCTGGTTGGCTTACTCTTCAATCCATAGGCTGGAAATAATACATTCCTCTAAAACACTGCTGAACTTCTACCCATTATGTGGTATAACATCCCAGAAAATGGCACTGTTCATAGTTATTACCTGAGAACCTCAAGTCTCACATGTTAATATCCATTGTCAGGTTCGGGAGGTAAGATTGGTGTCATGGAGCATAGTGAATCGCCATGGGTACATGAACTAAATTGCTGATTTCTATTTTTAGGGTTGTTACTGGTTTTGTTGTGCTTGTACTGTTTGCATTCTTAATGTTTTTATTTTGCTGCATGCTATTTAAGTACCATCATAGAGTTGTAATGAAATGGCTCATCTGGGTGTGTTTTCTTTTGTACTAATGTCATTTTGTTATGATGGAATCCAGTTTATTGTCATAATTCCCAATATTAAGCTCATGGACTGAATTGTGCAGTGCACCCACAGCACAGATATTTATATTTTTGAGAACTACCACAGAAAAATAAGATTATTAATGTCTTGGAAGTTGATGTATGCGTGCGGAATGTTATATTTATTTCCATTTAGTTTAATATTGCAAACTGGTAAGTGTGAAGTGATACAGGACTGACTTCATGACCTGTAATGCTGTGCTAAACCTCACTCCCAAAAGTTGAACTTTCTTCTACATTTCATGCACTAGTCCCGTGTTTTCAGGCCTATTTGTGAATATAATCAGCAACTATGTAATTAATTTTGATACCAAATTCAGAACCCTTTTTCTGTTTTTGTCAAGTTTGTTGGAATATTTAGGCCATATTTGTATTTGTGTTCACCATGTTTATGTAAGTTACAACACTATCAGTAAATATAACATTTGTGTTTTATAGAATTCTGTGATATGTATATTGTTATGCATTTTATTAACTTCATTAACTTTTACAGCCTGTTTATTCATTGATATATATTTGTTTTGATGGAGAAGATCAGTTGGACCGATTATGTGAGAAATGAAGAAGTGTTAATTAGAGTCAATGAGCAGAGGAATATCCTACATGAAATAAGAAAACGGAAGGCTAATTGGATTGGTCATGTTTTACGCAGAAACTGCCTTCTAAAAGAAGTTATCGAAGGAAAGATAGAGGGGCGGATAGAAGTGACAAGGAGACGTAAGAAGATGCTGGATGACCTTGGGGACAGAAGAGGATACTGTCATTTGAAGGAGAAAGCTCTAGATCACATTAAGTGGAGGAACTGTTTTGGAAGAGACTGTGGACCTGTTGTCTTGACAGATTACTGATGATGATGATGATGATATATTTGTTGTCACAGTTCTTTTATCAGTGGCTTTGGAATTCATGTACAGGAGCACTTGAGGAATGTAATCCATGAAGTGTGTCAGTTTTTTTCATAGACTCATATTGGTTATAATGCACTAAATGACTGCATATAAGAAATCCGAAACTTAGCATGTTGGTGAGACTGATGTGTCATATTGTGCACCCTTGATTTATTTATCTATATGTACATAAATAAAACACATAGTGGTGNCAGTTGGGGGGGGGGGGTACGCTTAACAAAATGACGGGTTCTACTTTGGATGATTGGATTTATTAACAGCTTTGTTACACGCACTCTTTTAATTACAATCAAATACAGCGCTATCGCTAATTTACACATTCCAGTTCACCGTTACACACGCATTAGGACTTTCTGTCTTCCACTAGTCATTTCCTAGCAACGGATCTCTACACAGAATCTGTCACTTCAGATCACTCCAAGTACTACTGAATACTAATGGAGAACTGACTGACTGACTTCTGTTCTGGTGATTACTCCAAATACTGGCGAATACTAACTAACACTGTCTTCAGCAGCTGCTACATTTCAACTGACTCCTTAGGCATTCCAGTTTCTCTTATAAACCCTCAATCGGGCAGGCGGAAAACACAGCTTGCTTTACTGTTGCATAACTTGGCAACCGACCATTTATGAAGAGTCTGTCTCTGTGGTCCACATCCTGTTCCCCAACAATGGTTTAACATGTCACAATATATTTACTTTACTTAAGAAGTCTTCTTCTGTGAAATGGTGCCAGGGTGTTAAAGAACTCCCAGTTTTTTCTGCTCTGATAGCCCCTTTGTCTCCTGCTAGGTAATCTACTTTGTTGTCTTGCTTGCTCTACTTTTTGATGTATCTTTTATGTTATGTCCTATTCCTGTATCTCTTTGTATTGTGGCATGTAGACTCATTGTTAGGTGGTGACCATTGGTAGGCAGTGGCATGCAAACATCAACAGAGGAATTGTGTTTTCTGTGTGGTCTGCTAAGCAGCAATGGAACAGCAACAGAGAAATGATGTTTTCTGTGCAGTCCGTACCGAGATGTTATAAGCAGGACAATTAGAGCAGTGAGTTAGTTGTGGGACAGTTGTCAGCCAGTAAGAACTTGAGCATGGAAGCAGAGAATATTGTTGAATTCCATCAGGAGGCAACAACTGGTGAAGACAGCAGACTGAGAAGACTTAGTACGTGCTGTAGTGAACATCGGAGTGTGTGAATTAGCGATGGTTACTTGTAGTTACCAGTTATATGTATAACTACACAATAAATCTGATTACCAATCCAGAATCTTTTCTCTTGTTTGGAACACAGGAAAAAAAAAATCTAGTATATGTTAATGTATGGATTTATGATGGATATTTTACTACTTTTGTGAAATCCTTACTATTTATGTGAAATTGAATTGTGCATGTATATATGTATTGTATGATTTTTGACAAATTCCACATCCGGTAGGTCATCTGACTAACTCATGGATCTATGGAATGCTATGTATGTATGTATGTATGTAGAACCTGTCTGTAGTCACACTCCAATCACATGACAGTATGTTCTCATAGCTTATTTCAAGTTTGTCACCTTTAATTTCTTCTTTTTCATCTTCTCCTATGTTATCTTACCTTGCACATTTCTTATGGTGTATTTCATTTTCCATTCTATTTAGCTTCGAGTACCTTCTGCATTCTTTGAATAATCTGGGTCTCCCTCAAACTCTGCTCATTGTTGTCTTCCTTGCAATGTTTCCTAATGGTGTTTTTCATCTTTTGTCCTCTGTGTATATGTATGTTTCTGGGTTGTTTGTTTGTTTGTTTGTTTGTTTGTCTGTCTGTCTGTCAGACAGTCTGTTGTAATAGTCTGAGATTTGAATGTCTTATTCATTTCAGTTGTTTACCATTTAAAATTGTTCTTAATATTTGGATCATGATTCTTTTAAGCAGTGCTCTAATACTTAAGACTTAGGCAGCTGCAAAGCTAATGTAGTTACTGGTTTTGTTATGATAAGTTTGTGTCTGAATTTACACCTAAACATATATATACCATTCAAGTGTGAATGCAGAGAAGTACTCCTAATTTAAGTGTAAGTGTGCAATAGTGGTGGTAAAATCCACAGCTGGTGAGTATTTCCCGATAGTAGTGTTTTGAGAGCCTCTTCTTTTTGTCCTTATTGAGAAGTAGCAGAGGAGTTCTTATTTTCTGTAATGTTATATTTCTAGTAGGTTTACATATATCTTGAATTGCTGGCTACACCTAGATTCATCATTCATTCTGATCATCTAGTTTTGTAACCTCAGTCAACTCCTGTATGACTGAAATAATTCTGAGGTGTGTTTTTCTTCAGGTCCGTTTAATTAATCGATGAACTAGATTCCATCATACATTGTTGTATTAGAAGCTTCTACGTGGTGCTAGAACCCAGAAGACTGTTATATTCTTCTGAATCAGTCGTGTTATCAGTATGTATATTCAGATCTTCCTCATTTGCTTTCAGAGTGGCAGATCCATCCCAGAAGGAGAATTTAGGAATCATTGTCCAGTACAAAGTGAAAGTAAAGCTGTGTCTTGGAGCATTAGGAGGGTATGTTCAGCTGCCAAAGGCATTAATTTGTTTGTGTAGTGTTTTGCATCTCTGTTTCAGCATGGAATGTTCATAAGTTTGCCATTTTCACATGTTATTCATTCTTATGCTCTCATAACTCCCAGTGTTCCCCCTTTCTTCTCTTATTATGTGAATTCCTTGTGACCACCATTCTTTCTGTATACTACTACTACTGCGGCCTCTTCCGCCTCCGCATTTCATTTCCTAATCCTATACGCACTTTTCTGTAATGATCATTGTCACTCTGACTACTTTGTTTTGCACTAAAATGATGTATCCTTGGAAACAGATGAGCTAGGATTTGATGTAATATGATTACAGTTATGTTACAAGTTATATAGATGTATTAAAAGAGAACATTAAGGAATAGAATGTGAAACCAGGACATTAGACAAACCTGAAACTGTAAACACTACAAGAAAAGTTTATGAAAATGGTCCGACATTGTATGTATCTATTGCAGTACAATTGTCTTGAATGTTTCCTAGCTGTATGGATAAACACCAGAGACTAAGAGAGAGTTATACAGAAAAAAGTAGGCGCTCCAAATAAGGTTTGCGAACAAATTGTATTTTTATATTCCTATCATGAGAGAATGTGTTTTTAGCAGTTTTTGTTGCCAGATGACATAGATTTTATGTTACATTTTGTTGCTCAGTTCATTATATAGTAATAATAGTCATTTTGAATGTAGTCCATGGATAGTGAAGTAAGGAGTTTTTTCTTTTCATATAGACTATGATTTTATTCACACATATTCACTTGTTCTCATCTCATCTTCACGACTTAGTTTAAATGATATGCAGTCATGGAGCAGTAAATGTTTACTGCTGTCACACAGGCAGCTAGCCAGGCTAAGTGACTAGGGAGAGCAGTCAATCTGTGCCAGTCACTAGTGTCTTAACATCTATAACCAGGTTAGCTTATGGTAATGGTTCATTTCAGAATAATAGAATTCATAAAATGTAACCTCTTGTAATTTAGAATTAATTTTTTGATAAAGTGAAATGAGATTACACGAAAGATAGAGGAAGAAGTTTGGTATGTACATTTGGTAACATTAGTATCACAGTGGGCTACCAGAGAGTGTAATGAATATTCTCTTATTTGATTTATTGGGCACTGTGTAATTTGATACTTAGGTGACGAATGTAGTTATATCTGGCTGATGACTCTATATTAACAAATTAAAGAATCACTTCTCATTGCTTTTGGATTATGTTAATTATGAGAACCTGAGATTCATGCGATGCACTCCTGTCGATTTCCTATTTACAAGACATTTGCTGGAACAATATGGTTTGCCCTTTGAGGTCAAGATGTAATTACAAAAGCATTCACTGAACAGTTTCAGTTTTACAGGAAAGAGAGGAGTGGTTGTTGAAGCTTTATTGAACCCAGTGCTCGTAGTAGGATATGTGTCATGTTCTGACGTGAACAGCAAAACTTAGGTGAAAGGATTATACTGAACTATGTTTGAGTGAGTTTAACCCAAGAGCAGTGGACTGGTTTGCTCTGGGATGTGCTGAGGTTTGCATGGTTATCTTTAGGGAGTATTCCCAGTCCCCACAGTCTGCATAGTGGAATGTCATACTTAGAGGCCTAATTCACTATGTGGGGAAGGGATCAACACTAAGGCTGTTTGGGGGGATGGGAAGAATAGGAGAAAAATGTTTTCGTAACACAATATATTATGATGGTATTCTCGGTGGATGATGTCATAACCATGAAAGCCATTCTTTTTCAGAAGCACAGGGAGGAAAATTTTGACATATGCTACCTCAAATTCAACTCAGTCCACAAAATTTGTGTATTTTGTACCAGTAGAAATGTATGTGAACCCATTCTTTTTAGTCACTGATATCCAAGCATGATTATTTGTAGCTGTGAAATTGAAAGCCATGAGAACTGAAGAGCTACTTTGCCATTGTACTTTCAGAGACCTGGTAGCAGAATTGCCTTTCATCCTGATGCATCCGAAACCAGAGGAGGATCCTCCCTTACCCATCACTGCACGCCCGTCACCCTCGCATGAACCTAGCAACAAGGAAGGTGGTGACGATGTAGCAGTTGATACGAATCTGATTCAGCTGGACACGTGAGTGCTTTGACTCACAGAATTCAACTAGTCTGATTTTTCATATTGTATGGAACAATGCATCATGGAGATGCATGTTTATTACACCTTACCCACTTGATTTCATATTTTGCTCAAACACTTCCCAGATGAGGCAGTGTCTGTAATGCCTACCATGATCACAGCTGGCCAAAATTCTGGCCTGTAAGGGGAGAGAGAGTGAGAGAGAGAGAGACCAGACCACATGCCCCGCATACTGGCAACAGCAAAATATCAGCACTGCTCTTCTGAGACTTTTACAGAAAATACACATATCTGTTGGAATGGTGGTGACATTTCTATTGAAATGTTGGTAACATGAAGAAATCCAGCAACAGAAATTTATAAGTGACACCTTTCCAAAAGCAGAGTACTGGCCAACCCAGACAGATAAATAGCATACATTCTGAATGTAGCCAAGATTATATAAATAAATGGTTAGAGTATTAAGTTCCAGGACTGCATAAATTTCCAGAAAACTACATTTAAAATTGAACATACCTTTAATATTCTTCAAAATAATCCCCCTTGAGAGTCACACACTTTTGTGCTCAGTCATAAAATTGTTGGAAACACTTTTTGAACTCATTTGCATGTAATGCAAACAATTCTTTTGTTACATTTCTTTTACTATCCTCGTCTTCAAATCCTCTCCCTTTCAGCATGGTTTTGATTTTGGGGAATAAGAAAAAAGTCTGATGGCGATAAATCAGGAGAATATGGGGGGGAGGTTAATTCTAGAATCCTTTGTTTTGCCAAGAATTTCTTTATTCACACTACTTTGTGGGGTCTTGTGTCATGCAAGAGAGCTTTCTCTTCCTGAAACTGAGGTCTTTCTTGACAGTTTCTTTGAATCAAATGAAACAGTATTTCCACGTAATATTCCTTGTTCTCTGTGTGACCTAGTGGAACACATTCTGCATGAACGGTTGCCAGACTGTTGAAGAATGTGACCAACGTCAGTTTGCTTTTTTTACTTTTGAGGTCAAAATCGTTTGTGTTTTGGAAAACTTGGCAAGCTCCATTTCATACTTTGTCTCTTTGTTTGGGGATATTACTGGAAACACCAGGTCTCATCACCCATTGCAGTTGAGTCAAGCAAGGAATGCTCTTCATTCATAGATTGAATAAAACCTTGATAAGCTTGCAGTCTGAGAGATTTCTGCTCATTGGTGAAACAGTGGGAGCAACCTTAGCCCAGATCTTCCATTTTCCAAGATCTTCTACTAGGATTTTGTGAATTGTTTCTCTGATAATTTTGAGTTCCTCTTCCATCATCTGCACTCATTCAGTGGTCAGTTGAAATCAAGTTCTGAACTGTTTCCATCATGTCAGGTGTTCAAACAGCTGTTGGTTGTCCACTGCATTCATCATCTTCAGGATTTTCAGAGTCATCTGAAAATCTTGCATACCACTAGAGCATTGTCACTATAAGCCTGTTTTATCAGCTGGGAAGTTTCAGTAGCTCTTTTGCCTGTACTGAAACACAACTTAATGCTTTCTCTTTGCTCCATCACTGCAAACTGTCACAGTGATCTGCATGGTACAGAACCTTAAAACACACCTGAGCATGAATGACAAGAGAAGAGTGATGTACCTTGCACAGGAAACACATTGGAAGAGTCAGCTTACACAGACAAGTTGAAACATATGCCTACATGTATATTTTCTATAATTTTCAAAAATGCCTAACTAGAGGCTGTATGGGATTCATCAAGCCTTAATGAGACACACATGAGATAGCAATCATTTCAATATTCAGACCTTGTTTTAACATGTAGTTTGTGTATCTGTGGGACAAATTTTAACAGATCCAGTTGCAAGATTGGCCTGACCTGAAACCAGATAATGTCATAAACCCGCTAACAGTTATATTATCCTTCTGTATTATTGCCATCTAATGATGGTAGGTTTCAGTCAGAATTTTCATTGGAATGGTGGAACAGACTATCATTGAGAAATAAAGTCTGTGTAACAATTTAACATTAATTATTAATAGAAGCAAAGAAGACATGAAAATTGTAGCACTGTTTGCTTAATGTATAGACACAACAAACAGGCCACTTTATTATCTCTGATTCAGTTGCATGTTCCACATTCCCAAGTTGGACAGGGTGTCTGAACATAAGTGTGTCTCTAGTCTATACACATTCAAAACACGTTCCCTGAAGTCTAGTCAGCAGAGAACAAAAATTATGCACATATCAAGGAAAGTGGTGTACAATAAGAAAACATATATAGGAAAGCATATAAAAAGAATTTGACGCACTTGAAGAGTATGCCAATACTGAATGCAAACATAACACAGAAAAACAAAAGCACATGCATCTTCATAGCTAATACAAAATTAGAGCTGAATAAATCAGTGTAAGAATGCAGTTCTGCTGAGAGCAGCAGTTCAGCTACTCCAAGAGGCCCTTAGCAAAACTATGAAAACACATAATTTAGCACTGGTTCACATGTCAGATCAGTTTATCTTGAATAATAGCAAACACAGAACGCAGGTTGGAATTTTCACAGATTACAGCATTCCCAATAATACAGTATGAACCTTGGCCAGCTCTTCTTTAACCAGATTAACATTCATGAGCAGTGACATGTAGAACACGAATCGAGTACCTCATCGCACACTATAACAGCATGTACATTAGCCAGTATTGAGCAGCAGTCAATGTACAGTGAGGCTCCATTCTGCTCCAAAAGTCACTATAAATTAGAAGAACCAAGCATTCAATTAGCTGTGTGCCTTGCGACAGAATAGAAACCTACATGTATGTTCTAGGTGAGGTATATAACTTTTTATATTATGATTAATAATTATGACAACTTTAATGGAAACACATTTTTCCCTTTCAGAGCATAAGATGCTTACAGGATATCTTAAACATTAGACAAGCAAAGAACCCCCAAATTTAGCCTGTAGCCACTGTACCTAGTATGTTGGATGGTGACATATGATACAATATATTTTTCTGACACACTGAATATGTTAGATCAGGCTGAGAGGTTAATATATTGCAAGAATTCAACCTGTGAGTTTAAGATGAAGCATAGAAACAATCCCCTGTTTTCAGTGATGGAATCATGTGCCCAGATCAGGATGACATAATTTTTGAGGACTTCGCACGCTTGCGATTGAAGGGGGGAGAGACAGAAGCCTGAGTGAGGGGGCCTGGAGCCAGGAGGAGGGCTGTTTCTTCTGCCAAACCGCTTCGTACCGAAGTCTACATCACATGGGAGTAGTATGGCAGCCAATCAGGGCTCAAAATTAAACAGCAAGAAAACATACTGATCATTGCTTGCTAAAAAAACAGTGACAGGAGTATGCTTGAAGCTATATAGACAGATGTCTTGCAGATAGTTTCATAGAAATGTCCATGAACATGAGAAAAGTTTTCCCTCCCCCCCCAAAACTGCTGGAATTTTCAGCACTCTGGCATGGTTTGCCATTCATATTAAGATAATGTACAGTGAACACTCTAGTATTGCATTTACAATTCTGTAGAAATGCAAATAATTCTGGATATTGTATTTGTAGAGCACTGGAGGAAATATTTCTATGAACAGTGTCACTTATTTTCCTTCCGGCTTTCTAGCTTTTGTGCTCATGTAGCATAGAACATATGCTGAGTTGTATGTGTATGGTATTGTACTATATTGTATTTGTGATGTGTTAATTTCTAGGTATATAATATTTTATCTTATTTTTTGTAATAAAGATGAAGGTGCCAGTTTCAATCATTTCGGTAGTTAGTTAGTTAGTTAGTTAGTTAGTTAGTTATTGGAGAGGGTGGGTTTCCCCATGCACTGAGACCTGTATTGGTCCATTGTGCTTCCCTCTATGATTTCTACCAGTCTCTATATCCTACCGGTACTGGTGCTTACCATCAGTCCCGCCCAGCCAGCGAGACCGGCTCTACTAGCTGAGAGGTATCTATAATGCTTTCCCCATCTACCAGAGGTATTAGAGACTGCTCTTGGGTGGGAATCGTCCGTTAATTTGGCTCAGTGACCTCTTTGGAGATATGAAGTCTTTTATGTGCCGTAAAGCTACGACACGGGACCCACGGCTTAAAGTCCCTCCCGGAAGATTTATTCCCTGAATTTTTCCGCCCTTAAAAATTCGACAACCTCCACCGGGTATTTGAACCCGCGTACTACGAGTCATGAGGTGGGAACGTTACCTCTAGGCTACGGAGGCCGCTAATCATTTCAGTAACTTCACTGTTATAATTTTGCAGTCTGATATACCAAGAACAATAGTTCTGATTTAAATAGAATTAATGGTTACAAAAACCTGTTTAGTATTAACCTTTTCACTGATTGAATTACCTGTTCATATTGCATCATGGGGGAAGAAACTGACTGATTGTTCACATACTTTTATCAAGGCCACTGTCATACTTTGTTATTACAGTGTATAATTGATGGCATATTGTTGTGATATTATCCATAGAATAATACATCCCAACAGTATACTCTGTATAGGCAGTGGGTGGCGCATACAGAGTTGATCTTGAAAGAGTTACAGGATTTTGTTTTTGAAGTCTAGTCATAGTAGCTTAGTCAGTAAAGTGGCTGGCTCTCGGCTGGATGAGCTGTTTCATTCCCATCTCCACAATATAGAGACTGGTTCTGGGGCCCACCCTCATTGCTGTCAGTGGGTACTGGCTTGAGTGAAGTGGTCAAAGTGTGAAGTGACCAGTACTGAGGTCTGAGATGTAGAATGCATTGCATGCATTGCACTTTACCTCGACTCCTATATGTACTATATAGATTGGCACCTCTGGAATTTTAATACTTGTCCTATTATTTGCAGTGCAAAGGGACACTGACCTGTACCAAATGAAGATTGTGTAAAGAAGTAATTTTGAGCCCTGACTTATGGCAGATAAGCTTTAGAGTTGTGACAGTGACACTGAATAGTGTGTTTGCACTTCTTCAAGTAGTGCTTGTGTCCCTGCAGACAGTATTGCCAATAAACTATAAAAAGAAATCTCTTGCTGAAATAGGTTAGGAGGAGAAATGAAACAAAACAAAAGGTTAATATTTTAATTGATAAGATGAAGTAAATATATTTAAACATGATATTAGGAGAAAACTGCTGTCCCTATGTGGTGATTGTATTTTGATCATCCAGCATATTCACTTATTTACATATTATGTACCAAAAGCTGGAAAATTGTTTCCTTATGCTTTTTAGGACTTGCATTTTTATACTGCAAAGTTTGTGATTTTTATGGACAACTCAAGCACAAATTTCAGGTGTGTGCACACATAATCATGGATAATGACTATATCAGTGCACACAAACTTAGTAACTAACTCTGAAGTATAGGATCTTCTTAAGAAGTTCCTTGAGACATTTCCTGTTGTATGGAACTTTATAGCTCATCATGGACCCTGTTCTCACTCTCTTAATCCAGTTCATATTTGCACTACCCATTTTTATTATAGTCCTTGTTAATATTATCTTTCCATTTATGCCTAGATCTCCCAGATAGTCTCTTCCCTTGTTACCAGCTAAGTTTGTGTGTTTATTATCTAAAACATCTTTTGAGTGTTTGGCATTATTTGAGTAGGCAACCTCACTGTAAAAATGTTCTGTATGCTCAGCAGGATCTCTGGTAAGTGATTAGGTTCCCATCACATACTGAAAACAGAATGTAGTTAACTTTCCAGTCATGATTTAATAATGTATGTCACCATGTGATAATGACGTACGCTCAAAGATGTTTATACATTTTTCTTTTCCTAATAATGTAGCATGTCTCGCAATAAAGTAGTAATCTACAAAATAAAAATATCACTTTGGAGAGAGCTGATTTTCACCTTCATATGACAAATTATGTTAGTTTGTGTAAACAGATAGCATTAGAGTGAGCCAGAATTGTAACATGCATTAAATTTTGTTCATTTAATTTGGAAATTTGGTGAGGTTATTTTTTCCACCTAATGTGTAGTATTGTAAATTGTTGTGTAGGGTTAGGATAGTGAACCTTTTCATTGCCCAGCATCAGATTTACATCAAAATTTACTTACCAATGACAAGTGGTGTCCACTGTCACTGTTCCAGTACTGCCGTAATGGACTTGTTTTCATATCTTCTGCTCACTTGGAGAATGCTTAAGTTCTTGACTTGTAGTTGTTTCATGTATTTTTCATATGAAAATAATGGACAGTATGCAGCATTAAAAATAAAGTACAACAACATTCTGTTTTGTTGTAGCTAGTGTTTTGTATGATGTTAAAGGTAAAAGAAATTGTTTTGACACAAAAATTATGGTGTGCTGAACTGTTGAAGTACCACATTTATCCAGATGTTAATATGGACAAGATCAGTAATCACTAATGGCAGTTAAAATGGTAGCTGGTGCCCATCGTTTTCCATCCCAGGTATGGGGCATAAAAATTAAGTTTTGGCTGTGGGGGTCCATCCACCCTGTTATCCAACTGTGTGTGCTCTTTCCTTGAGGATAATGCAGCCAACGTATTAAACTGACCACTCAGATCAGTTTTGTACAGGGATTAAAAATGCATGTACCTTTAGCTTTACAAAGTAAGAGCAAGAAATTATGGATAGGAATCTCGCCATTAATAAATGTGCAGTTCCTCAAGTGCAGTACACTCCTATTGCAATTCCTACACCTCCTTTCCTGCACACATCTTATTTCGCTTCTGAAAAATATGAATGGCCTCTCTTAATTTCATTCACTGCCACAGACCTTGAAAATACTAGTACTCAATAAAACATGCTGTCAACAGGGGCAGAAACAACATAATTACAGCATTTACTGTGACCACTGCACTTCATCAGAAACAAATTGAGATGCAGTCCTTACATTTGATCTAAACAGTAGTTCTGCAATGTTGGGAGATAAAAGATAATCTCTTTGTGAATGGATTACAGGGAAATGATCAGAACCTTGAATTGTTTCACAAATGTCACACATTAGCTGAGCCATAATAAGTGACTGGCTGTGGACTGGAAGGATGGAGTTTATTTCTCAACAGGGGCTGGGATTTTAGTGTATGCCACCATATTTAAATTGGCTCTGGGGTCCATTCAGCCTCCTGTCCAATGGATAGCAATAACTGTCTCAGAAATAAATAATTCATAGTGTAAAGCTGATCACTCCCATTTAGTAGAGAGGTGTAGAATCCATAGAGCTTTACCTTCATGGTTTGAGCTTGGAAATCATTTTCTGCATATGCATATGTATTTCACAATTTGTGGGATAGATGCATTGTATATTGAGTGGAAATTCTTTTGTCTATGACTGCATATGTCCACTTGGAGACATCTTATTTTTACAAAGGCACAAGCCAGGCTACCATATAGATACTGTACCACCTTCAATTGGGGCCGTCACATATATTCTATTTTAAGGTATTCATAGATTAATTTTTATGCAGAAGAGAAAGGTATAACAGATTCTGTGCCTTAACCCTTCCGCGACGGATAGTATTTAAATCATTTCCTACCGCCAAACCGACGGGGTATTTAATTATTAAACAGAAAAATGCACTTATCCATGAAAAATTTAGTAACTCTCGCAAAAATTGGTATATTGAGATAAAATTTTCACAGAAATATTCATAAAGAAACGAAGAACAAAACTATATATATATTTTTCAATATAATTATGATAAATAATATTTTTTTACTCACTCGAACTGCTAAAAGTTGAGTTTGGTGTGGTAATCCTGAAAACACTGGTCAATACATAGCCCAACATCACAATCACTGCACCAGTACACGGTTTCTTTTCTTCTTTTGTTTTTTGTACACACTACACATCGCCTTTGTGGTCTAGCCTTTTTTCCTGATGGGGGAATTTTACTAATAAAATGTCTTTCACGAAGCCGGGGGATGGTGTTATCTGATGAATGACGTCGACCTTGTACTCTACGTGCTGCCTGCTCCTGGTCCGTAAACTTCAACAGCAACCCTTCTACCAGATTTACTCTGAATGCTAAGTGGTCTGTCAGTCTTTCCTGATTCTTGTTATAAATTATCATGGCATTTACCACTGTCGCATTCAAAAGGCGTCTGAAGAGTTTCATGTACCACTTATGAAGTCTTTTTCTTTCCACGTTGTAGTACTGTAAAAGCTGATCTTTCAAATCAACGCCACCCATCATTTCATTATAATCAATTATAATTTTTGGTTTTTTTATTTCTTTGTTTCTCTTTATATCTGTCTGTGTGTCGGCATTGTGAAATGTAGAGATCACGGAAACTGGTTTTTTGTCTTGCCACTTGAGAACAGTTATAGGACCTGCGTGCTGAGCTATGATCTCGCCCTTTCTCAACTTTGTGTTTTTTACAGTTGTTGGGACACCCTTTCTGTTCAACCTAAGGGTCCCAACACAGTCAGTGCCATGATTTTTTAATAATTTTGCTAACTGGGGGGAATTGTAATAATTATCCATCCATAGAGTATGACCTCTATGGAGGAGCGGTTCGACCAAATGTAGAACAACAGATGTTGTTTTATTGGTATTTTCTCTGATCAGTGAAGAATTTAGTTGGGTTTCGCTGCCAGTGTAAACAATAAATGACCATAAATACCCAGATTTGGAATCACAGAGTTCATAAGTTTTTATGCCGAATTTTGAAGCTTTCAGTGGCAAGTACATTTTGAATGCCAATCTCCCTTTCCATAGTGTAAGCGATTCATCAATACAAATATTTTGTCCAGGATAGAAGAGTGTCTGAAATTTTTCGTTGAGATGTTGAATGACAGGAAAAATTTTGAAAAGTCTTGTAGGTCCTAGGTAATTATCTTTCTTAGTATTGTCATTGAAATGGAGAAATTTACATATAAGCTGGAATCTGTCTCTCGAAATTACATCAGGAAATGCTGGAGTGTATAGTAATCTTTTCGTTGAAAAGTATGAATTTAGAGTTGGCTTATTGACTATACCCATCAGCAAGAACAAGGCTAAGACCACATACATTTCATTTAGTGTCACTGGTACCCACTGCCTAGCTGGAGATCTAAATGGAAAAACCCTCCCACATATAAATTGTTGCGCATAAGTGTTTGTTTCCTGAACGATATTGTTCACAAAATCCTCAGTAAAAAATAATAGAAATGTCTGTACTATATCGAGCACATTGACAGACTGATTTCTCGGGCCTGAATTTTCAGAAAACCGTTCGCGAACGCCATCATAATTATCCATATTTTGCCAAAAATAACTCTCGTCTGAATCCGCCACTGGAACCCTCGCCACTATTTCGTCGTCATCTTCAATACTAAGATCTTGGATAGCATCAACTACAGCCTGATCTTCAATTTCATTATCACTGTTTTCACTACTATCCGAATATTCGAACTCACTAACTTCCGAGTCGTGAGCAAGGAACTCTTCTAGTTCATCGCCCTGTAAAACTTTCCTACTTGTAGAGGCCATGGTTATGGCGCGACTGAGAGAAGAAAGTGTTATGACATCATAGATTTCTGTATCATTCGTAAGTTTATTTTCTTAGGTTGCATTTGGTTCCAAGAAAAAAGGACCCTCTTGTTTGACTACTTCATTGTGTCAGCAGACTGTACAGCAACCCATTCAAGGAAAACCTTCGTCTGGGGTTTCAGTGAGTGACTCATATAGACAAGCAAAGACCATAGAGTCGAAAGATATATAGTTTTATACATTTTCCTTACTTAGAATTTGAAAAATTTCAATGAAATCTAGGCGCAGTGAGACAAAAGTACGAACTATTACACTAACGATACAAAATAAAAATACCGTGCTAAAAATTCGTCCAAAATAAATAACTCATATACCAATAGAAAGATGAAACCCTAATCTATGTACTCCTGAAAAGAAAATTGGAATATCTTTCCTCGTTTTGTCAGCAACGTCCTTCAAAGCTAACACTGCGCAGGTCGGTGAACTGCACAGATGTCGGTGGCATACGATTATTTAAAGGGTCGGTGAAGCACACGGATGTCGGTGCGGAAGGGTTAAAATTGAATATGACAAAATAAGCTCCTGCTGTTATTTTGGTGTTTTGATACAGGAATACTTTCTGTATGATTAGTTCTCAAAGTTTGAACTGTAGATAATTTTCTTTGACACTGTGTTTCATTCAAATTAATTAATGAAATGTTATAAGAATTAATATGAACTTGTATTATGTGAACACAGCTAAAACTTTCACTCACTCACGGAGCCAAGTCCTTGAGAAACCGCCAATTGTGCAGCTACTCAAGAACTTCCCAGCATTTTATGGAACCTGAAGGTTCATTCCGTGTTCACAAGAGCCTTCCACTTGTCTCTATCCTGAGCCAGATTGATCCAGTCCATCCTCTCTCTCTCTTAAGATCCATTTTAATATTGTCCACCCACCTACAATTGGTATTCCTAGTGATCACATTGCTTCTGGCTTTCCCACCAATATCCTATTTTCATTCCTATTCTCCCTAATTTGCGCTACATCAGCTGATACTTTAGAACTCAGAATTGCATTTGTCTGTCTTGCGTGAGTTTCTAAAAATCGCTAGGTACAGTTTGCCACCTGAAGCTTTTGTGGAAGGGAGGGGCCTCAATATTTGACTCCCAGGAACAGTAGTTCTTTGTTGACCCATTGGACCTTTGGGCCACCACACAGTACCTGACATCTTGAGGTTTACAAGTCAGTTCAGCTGGAACTGTTCCTTAGAACATAAAGAGACCTGACTGAGTGGTAATTCCTCAACACTATGAATTTTTGTGTTTCAAAATTTGGTCAGTCTCTTTTTTATGTGCTACCTTCAACATATTTTTGTATAAAGTGCATGCAGTTAATGCATTATAGGGAAGATGTATATGTTCATCCATGGGCAAGTTTTGTTTCCAAATGGATATTGATGAAATTTAATATTTGAAATCTTCTCTATGGGCTGTTCAGAAGTTTCAGTTTGGTTTGTGTTGGTTAGGCATATCAGTAATCCCTCTTCTGCATGCAGCGCGAATCCAGTTTTCTCAGAAACAACTCACAAAAAGCGAGTACATAATATAAAATGTAGATAATCTCATTAAGATCTACAACTCTTATTTGAAACAAGTTACAAAGAAAATATTTCTGTATTTCTGCAGTGTTGGTTTTTGTGTTGATAATTCTGTTTGTGTCTTTCATGTGTGTATCCAGGCCAGTGAGGTATGTCATTTCAAAACATGCATTTGGTAAATATATTACTCAAAACTTGATGCATCTTTCCACTCTTGTTAATTAAATGCATGAACAGCATAAGTTAAAATTCAAAATTACATAGTTCAAACTTATCATAAAAGATGGAAAACTGGTATGAAAATTGTATGAAGTAGTACAGCAGTTTTGGACCAAATTCAAGATCACATATTGTTTTTATGTAATTATAATTGAATATCATGAAAGATTCAAACATCCTATTACAATTGCTTGAAAAATGATGAAAAGGTATGTTGGTTCAAATTAACATTTGGTAGTTGTGATATGTATGAAAGTTATGGAGAATTACAAGAAAATGTGACAAAAGTTGAAGGTAAATGAGAGAGACCTCTTGACATAACACTGAGCAAGTTCTCATAACTTAGTTCCAAAGCGAGGCAAACTGAAACTCTAGAAGTTCTAGGAGAGTGAGACTTTGCCTACAGCACAGTATAGTTCTGTGTAAAGTCCAGTCCCTGTTGTGTATCATACATGGTAACTTTACTTTGTGTGTGTGTGTGTGCGTGCGTAAGTGTAACAGAATATTGTTATACCTCCGTAATGTACCATTTTATATAAATGTTTTTGGGGCTGATTTTTACAGCAATGAAAGATAAGACATTATTATAATCCACATTGTTATCCACAGAACTTTGTATATTTAACATTCTGTGTCTTTGTGTTAAGAAAAAGGACAAATGAACTATCATACTTTGATCAGTCTGAGCTTCACTGTAGAGGATATGTTGATGGATTGTTTCAGAATTCCAGTACATATTCACTTTTTCTGTTAGAAATAATATATGTGTCATTTGCCCAGGGGTGAAGTGTTATATCCAAAAATTATAAAATAACTTTTATAAACTGTAAAGATTATTTTGTACATAATGGACATTCTAATAATAAGGCAGTCTGTACAACATAAAGACTACTTTTCATGGTGAAATCCCATAAAAAATTGTATTTTCAACACAGGTTCATAGCCAGGATTTTAGTGGCTAGTATAAACCTAGGGGCCAATCAGCCATGACTAAACACACTCGTTTTTGGTTGCAAAACAGTTATTTCTATTGGATGTAAAGCAGGAGTTGACGCATATTTTGACTCATCAGAACTTATACTGTGGTCTTGTAAATATATATGTTTTAACAGTTGCACAACAGCTGTTGGTATTGAATGTGTTTAGTAGTCAAATCATGATACATGACCTTCTGTTTTCCATTTTCAACAGCCTAACATAGTCACAGTGATAGCATATTATTTACTTTTCTTTTTCTTCCTTGTTAGAAGAAATATGGTAGCACTGTAAGTACTTGAAAATGAGAAGCAGGAAGATCTTGTTTTGTGTAAAGTCTCCTATTAAGTAAAAGTTGTACTGGTCGATATGAATATTATCATCTATTATAACAGTATTGTAATAAAAACTACGATTGATTTTGTAACTGTAAGAAATGTTTCCCCAATACATCCCAGGCATCCAGATGTTCCTGCAATAAGATTTTATTATTCTGCATTCCTTTTGAAATTCCATGGGACATTTGTTTCTGTACAAACTCTGAATTCAGCTGGGTGCCAGGAACGATAAAATACATAGCAGTAGTAATGAAATTTTTTTGATGTGTTATTTGCTCATTAAGTTGACACTATAGATGTGCCAGTGTGGCATGTTGGTTGAGTGACTAAAGCCATGTTTACAAAACGCCTGCAATTTCTATAGTTTTTATCTTCCCTCAGACCGTTCCTTGAAAAATAGAAATATGTGAATTTCATCTGAAAGTATGATATGCCAAGAAGTTTTCCCTGCACTTCCCTTTCTTTCCTCTCAAATACACGATTGACCTTGTCCATTTCAGTGCAGCTGAATCTTTAGGTAGTGTTTACAGATAATTTTTGCCTCTAAATGGTGGCTTCTTCACTTCACTTCACTTTATTTTAAATTCCATAGATCCTTTCAGGTCACGCATGCCATAGGATATAGAACATGTCAGAATACATAAACACATGCATAACAATGGACCAATCAACATGCAATACAGTCACAGTACAAAATTTGTATATAAAATATTCAACTATGATCACATTTATGCAGATATATGCTTATCATTGTCACAATCATAAATTAATACAAAAGACCTAAATACTTAATTTAACAGTCCAAATATAATACATTTCATCAGGATTTAAAAATTAGAATATACAGTATAATAAAAATTCAGTATATACAATCAGTCATTTCATAGCAAGAACCTTAAAATTTGAAAACTATTGAATTGAATTGAATTGAATTTATTTACATTCTATAAATCCTAAGCAGGTTAGCACCTTTGGATACAGAACAAGTCAAAAGGTTACATACATAAGTACAGGCAATTTTAGCTTAAAAATTAATATAACTTAATTTTACATCATTCCCTATTTACATTGAAGTATTCATCTAGAGTAGAAGGAATGAGCATGTAGATAATTCTTTAACTCTGATTTAAACTTTTTAATATCATTGCCCAAGTTTTTAATACTTTGTGGCAGATTGTTGAACACTTTTGTGCCAGTAAAGTAGACTCCTTTTTGATATACTGATAAAGTTGATGAGTGTAGGTGGAAGTTATATTTTTGTCTAGTATTCATGTTATAGACATCAGAATTTAATTTGAATTTATCTTTGTTGTAAACAACAAATAGGAGAAGCGATAATATGTATTGCGATTGAAGAGGTAGAATTTTTAATTTCTTAAATAATTCTCTACATGAATCTCTACTTCTACATCCTGTAATGATTCTAATTATATTCTTTTGTATTTTAAAAATTATTACACTATGTGAAGAGTTCCCCCAAAATATTAATCCATAGTTCATAATAGAATGAAAGTAGGCATGGTAAACCATCTTCAATGTTTCCTGTGACATAAAAGGCTTAATTGATCTCATCGCATAGCAAGCTGCATTTAATTTAGGTATAATTTGTTCAATATGTATTTTCCAAGACAGTGTACTGTCTACATATATTCCAAGGAATTTTGTATCAAGTACTTTACAGATTAATTTGTTGGCATAACTGATGTCCAGATCAATTTGGTGGTTGTTTTTAGTTGTGAATGATATGTAATGGGTTTTATCAAAATTTAATGAGAGTAAATTGGCTTCAAACCATCTGTTTAAGGCTTCAAATACAATATTTATGTCATTTTTAAAGTTTTCAAATTTAGAGTTCTTAAATATTATACTAGTGTCATCTGCATATAGAATTGGTTTAGATTTATTGTTGATGGTTTTAGATAGATCATTTATTAACATATTCCTCTACAGGATAAAAGGAAATGAGCTCTAAGTAAACCATTCACGACCATCTTAATTGTTTACTGTCATGTGTTATTTAAAACAGATGGTCTATTTCAATACCATACTTCCATAAAATGTATAATACCCTTAAATGCCCAGTTACTAGACAGTGGTTAATACAGTCAATTCAATTTACTGAAACATTCCGTTGATCCTTAATGGTACAATAATGATCAGTAGATGTGGAATTAGTCACAGACAAAACCAGACAAGTCGCATCACTTTAACAAGATACGAATATAAATACATTCATGATTCATCTCCACAATACAGTATCTCAAACATTGTTCTAATATCTAAAAGCAGATTATTTATTAGGACATTACATCAATTATTACTTACAAACAATACCCAGACAACAAACAGGTCATAGATGCCTGCACACATAATACCCAGGACATTGATGGAACAACTTTTGTACATCGTATGACAGCTATATGTTTAAAATGTTAAAACTAATATACTGATAGTACTAAGATATGATGAATATATATGAGCTGATTATAAGTATCATAAAGAAATTTACTTAGTAGGGAGTATAACCCAGGTGTTTAGTTTACTTTGCAGTTAAAATATTCATCCAAGGAATAAAAGGAATTGGAAAGACGAAACCTTTTCAGCATCAGTTTCAATAGTTTCATTTCATTACTCAGACTTTTTATATGAGGTGGAAGATGATTATAAGCTCTGATACCAGAGTAGTAGGGTTCTTTTTGGAAAACTGTCAAATGCGATGTAGGAAGGTGTAAGTTTGTGCTATGTCTAGTACTGAAGCTATGAATCTCATGATTCAATTTGTACAGATCTTTATTTTTTACCTCAAACAGTATTATCGAGTATATATATTGTGAATACATTGGCAATACATTTAATTTTTTTAAATAGATCCCTACAGGAGTCTCTAGTTTTTGCATTCATAATAACTCTAATTATCTGCTTTTGTACCTAAAGACATTGATACTATTAGGCCTATTACCACAAAAAAATTATACTGTATTCCATAATAGAATGCACACAGTATAAATAATCATCTTAAGGGTTTCTTGTGACATAAAACCTTTTGCTGTCCTAATAGCATAACAAGCCAAACTCATTTAATTATTAATTGGTCAATATGAAGTTTCCATGATAATGTTTCGTCGATGTGTAAACCAAGAAACTTAATATTTGACGTGTTAGTAATATGCTTGTTTCCACAGCATATACTGATATTGGTTTCTAAACTATTTTCTGCCCTGACTAGAAGGTAATGAGTTTTTTGAAATTTAAAGATAACAAATTGGCTTTAAACCATTCATTTATGGCTACAAGTTGTATATTCATATTAGTTTCAAAATTCAGAAGGCTGGGATTAGACATTATGACACTTGTGTCATCAGCATATAGGATGATTTTTGCATTGTTAGTTATTATGTTAGGAAGCTCATTTACATATAGTAGGAAAAATAATGGACCAAGGATAGAGCCTTGTGGAACACCTTGCTTTATGATCTCCCACTCGGAGGAGGTACTATTATAAGTTTTCCTGATATCTAATACCACTTTTTAGGTATGATGTAATTAATGCTTTAGATGTTCCTACTATCCCATAGTGTTCAATTTTTTTAAAAGTCTATCATGGTTGACACAGTCTAATGCTTTCTCTAGGTCACAAAATATACTACCGACAGTTAATTTATTATTCATGGCTAATAAAATTTCATTCAATAGTTTGAAGGAGGTCATATTAGTTGAGTTATTCCTAAAACCATATTGGTTGCTTGTAAGTATCTTATTTAGGGTTAAATGTTGATAGAGCCTTGAGTATATAACCTCAAAAACTTTGGAGAAGGTGGGTAGCAAAGATATGGGTCTATAATTAGAAATACTATGTTCATCACCACTTTTGAATACTGGTTTTACTACTGAGAATTTAAATCTAGTTGGAAAGATACCTGAGGAAAGGGATTTGTTAATAATACACGTTAAAGGAGAGCTGATAAAAGGTGCACTTGCTTTCAATATTATAGTTGGTATCTATCTCATCATATCCATATGAATGTTTGCCGTTTAAGGATTTAATAATTTTTTCTATCTCACAAGTTGACGCATGTCTAAATCAAATATTTGGGGGCAGGCCCTTGTATGTTTGTAACATATAATTTAGATAATTGTCATGTATTGGCTGACCTGTTTTACTAACTCTGCTACTATCTATGTTATTATCAATGATTGTTAAAAAATAATAATTGAATTTATTTGCAAGAATTTGTTGGTTGGATATTGTATTACGCTTAATATCCAGGTACTGTATATCATCTTTATTACCCCTTTTCCCTCTTTCAGTTTTAATTATATTCCACGTAGTTTTCATTTTATTTTTAGAGTTTAATATCCTCCTATCATAATATAGTTTTTAGCTGCATTTATGACCTTAGTTAAAATTTTGCAGCATTGTTTATAATATTCTTTTAAATTAATATCATTACTGGTTCTACTCTGTAAATACAGATTTCTTTTATTTATACATGAGATCTTTATCCCTGTTGTTAACCATGCATTACCTTTTGGTTTATTCTTTATTTTTCTTTTAGTAAAACTGGAATAAAAGATTCTTAGATATGTATTAAGAAAGTTATTAAATATTATGTCAATGTTCTCTTCAAAGATATCATCTCACGTCTCGAAACTCAGTTTCTTCTTAAAATTAATTAAGGAATGTTTGTTAAAATTTCTTTTGAATGTTACATTATACTGCCCTTGCATTTTGAAAGTATTTAACTTGATAATTTGGGCTTGATGGTCCAATAGCCCATTTATATGAGGATATATGGTATAATCTACATTTTTTGATACATCAATAAATATATTGTCAATAGCTGTTGCTACACCATTTTGCACTCTAGTTGGGAAATTAACAGTACTGGTTAAGTTGAAAGTGGCAAATAATAAGTCTAACTGCTGTTTTTTTTATGCAGCTGTTATCAAGATAATTTATATTTAAATACCCGCAAATAATGAAATGTTGATTACCATCATATAATTTATTTAAAATAGCTTCTACGGTCCTTATAAAAAATAAAAGATTCCCATTAGGAGACCTGAAATCGATATTATACAAACAGTTGTCATTGGTAAATGCATTTTAATTACACATACCTCAATATCCTGTTCTTTGCTAAATTCTTGTAGGTTAATATTAAGAAAAACGTAATGATTCATGAATAAAAATACTTGCTCCACCATTTTTTAGGTCTTCTCTACAAAACTTAGCCCCAAAATTATAGTGTACTAATGGTGTTCTTTTCAATTCGAGTTCCTTTAGATGATGTTCTGTTATACATAGTATTTGGGGGGAGTTTTGGAAGTAACGAGTTTATTAATTCAATTGTTTTATTCCTTAGTCCCCTAATATTCTGGTGATATATCTTAAGAGCATTAGCTGCAGAAACTTGTATATCAGCTATCATGTGGGTATTGTTTACCATACAAATAATTTTTTCTGGTCACAGGGACTTTCTTTTGCCTATTTGATGTTCTAGGGATTGTTACATCAGTCTAGTGCGTCCGCTTGGTTAATTTCATTGTCTTTAGACATGGAAAGAGGAAGAAATCACTCCGTGCCAGGTATGGTCAATATGGTGGATGGGGAAGAATTTCATATTCCAAACTGGCAGCAAGTGTCATCGTAGCATGAGCCAGTGCTTTGTCGTGAAGAAGTCTCACACCTTTTCCCAGCATTCCGCGTCGCTTTTTTTATTTCCTCTCGCAGTTTTCTCAGAAGGTTCCGGTAGTACTCGCTAGTGATGATGACGCCATTTTGTGCGTAGTCCGTCATGATGGTCATGATCGTCATGATGACACCCCGCCGACACCAGAACACACTCAACATCACCTTTCCTGACAACGGCTGGGATTTGGCCTTCTTTTGTGGCGGCGAGTCTGCATGTTTCCACTGCTTGATCATTTCCTTTGTTTCAGGCTCATCATGCTAGACGCAACATTCAACCATCGTGATCAGGCGCTCGAAAAATTCCACCTTTTCGTCTTGACACAACTGCAAAAGCTTCTTTGCCACATCCATCCGTTGGTGTTTTTGAACTGGTGTGAACAATCGTGGCATCCAACGCGCAGCGATCTTCGTCATGTGTAACTAATCATGGATTTTGAAAACCGACCCATGGCTAATGCGGACCTCATGAGCAATAGCTTCGATAGTTATGCGCCTATCGGATAGGCTCAAAGCTTCCACCTGTGCCATAATTCCCAGTTACTCAGCGGGAGATGGTCTTCCACTTAGGGGTTCATCTTTGAGGTTTGTTTCATTTCATTTCTTTCATTTCATTTATTTCGTGTCCATGGATCATTATACATGATATAAGACATGTCATTCTTGTGTAGTTATAGTATAATAAGTTTCATGATGTTACTATTGGGGGGGCTGCATGTGAAGCATGCAGTGCAACGTGGAATTTGGGTACCAACTCAGCATTTGCTCTGGGACCAAGGAAAACCACGGAAAACCTTGATCGAATTGGCCGGTCACAAGACCTCCCAGATACACTGGTTGTCTGTCCACAATGAAAGCGCCTCTTCCATATGACCACTCGTGTCATATGTTGGTACACCTTTCTGATCTTCTGATACATAGCGGTCATCTGGTCGTGGATCTCCCTGGCAGACTTCCCTTGCAAATGCATGAACCACATCGCAGCGCGAGCCTCCACTTTCTAAACCGACGTCGCCATTTTGCTTCTGTCCCTTCCGGTGGCTCCCACCGCTCCCACCTCTCCCACTGTCCACTTTGCACGAGAAACTTTGTTCGGCAAGCTCAGGAAATGGACTATCTCCAGTATAGAACAATATTTTGGAATTATGATTTTCTCATGGTGATAATTAAAACATTATGACTTCTCATCGTACTTGTAATTTTTCTGGTACAATTGAAGTGCTGGTCTCGCCTGAACTGAAAATCCCAGTTCCATCAGCTAGTGCAGGGTTCGTTAATTGCAATTTCATTGTGATAGTAACTATTACATTATAAAATACAAGGTATAAAAATGCAATGAATTATAAAAGTATTAAAAAGCGAAAGTTATGGAATAAAATATGATTAAAAACTCTTTATGCGATATTGCCTATCATGAAGTCAGTTGTTGCAATCTTGTTATATTTCCGCGGACGTAAGAGTTTTTAACCATATTTTACATCATAATTAGAGGGAAAGGATAGCATTCCCTGGCTAGAAATCACAGACATCGCAGTCGATAGTTTCAGCGGTTTCAGTTATTACGGCATCATAGTCGATCATAGTCCTCGTGGTTGCACGTGGTCTGTAGGTCTGTAGCCTTGGTATTCCAGTTTCCGTTCGTTTATTTGTTTTCGCTGGACTAGGTAAGGGGAGGCCATGTGGTGGGCAATGAAATGTGAGCAATTCTTTCATTATATGAGCAGCATACAGTGAAAATGGATATATATATTTTTATAATTAAAGTGGCACCTATTAACATTGTTACATGGCGTGAATGAGTTTTTTCTTTGTTGTTCAGGTTGCCGGTCGCTAGTCTTCCAGTCAAAACTCATTCCGATTTCCAGTGTTTTGAAGAATTGTTGTAGTACTCAGATAAATCCGGATATGTGAGTATGTGCTTAATATTTCCTCTTTTGTGGCAAATTATATTGCAGTCTGAGGCATGGTTCCTTACTGGCACTGGCCTTCGTGTGTTAGTTAACCTCATAAATTCACTGATGGGTTCAATTCAGTCGAGAGACCGTACAGTTGTAAAATTATTGTTGAAGGAAAATAGTTCATATTCAATGCATCATTTAACGGAATAATTTTCGTGACAGTCTAGGGATCAGTGTCTGGCTTGTATGAACATTATAAACTTTGAGATAGATGGAGAATTAACTTGACCAGTTGAGGGACTACCAACTTTTTTAAGAACTTGGCTCCAAGTAGTTGCCTGCTTCAAATATGTGTATGTGAAAAGTTTGTGAATCTATGTTAATTATTACTTTCTTTGATTTTGGAATTATGTGTTATGTAATTGCAGGACTTTTAAAGGAGGAAGCAGTCGTTTTGGAAATGACAGAAAAAAGGGTGGATTTGGGACAGGTGACCAGTGGAGAGGTAGCGAAAAGAGGAAAAAAGAATTTGGTGGGAAGAGGGAATCAGGAGTGAACGTCTGTGAGCAAAACTGGGGACCCACAACGTTGCATCCATTTACCAAAGACTTGTACCAGCCTCATCCAGCTGTAGAAAACAGGTAAGTTAAGTGTGTGGACATGAAAACAGGCTGGATTCCTCTGAGTCTGATATTTAGTTTGTACTAAGTGATGGAAAGGGAAATTGTATTGTATTCTATTTTAACTTTGTTATCATGTTCTTAGTCACCATAAGTACATAACTTGCCCCAGAAAGCAGTTAATTTTTACGTGTATGCATTAGATATATTGTGCAAGATAATAATTTTGCCATTATAGTGGAATTATATTTCAGTTTTCATCAGAGGACTTACAAATGGCCATGAGGTGCATAGTTGTCATTGGTGCTTGTTGATGCACCATGCAGTAACTCTGTCCCTCCCCCCCATCAAATCTGGTTTTCTTCCCTGAGGTTTTATTGATGTCTGGTCTGACGATATTACAGAATATGAAATAGTCATCACACCAGAATGATCAGGGGTGTGTGCAGCAGTGGTAACAGCCACCTCCCCCACCATGAGGTGGTATGGTCTTCACACATGAACATTTTTGAGAAAAAAAAACAATTTGGGGAATACTGATCTTGTTTCTAAGATTAGCAGCTAACTGTGACTTCAGCCAATACCAGTATGTGTTTATTCTGCACATGTATGTGTTTTATCTGTGCCATGCACTGATTGATGTCTCACTCTATAAGAAGAGTCATTGTGCACTACAGGGAGTCAAGCTTTACTACCAGCTTTGTTTTGTGTAGCCAGATAGCGGTGACAGATATGATAGGGTGTTTCATAATCTGGTGGTTGGCAGAAGACACCAAATGATCAGTCTATGGAAACACTCACGAAACTCACATTTGACTGTTGCTGAAGTGTGTCTCGACATTGGAATGCCCTCAGCTTATTATGTGGCAGGAACTGCTGGTGAGCTGACAGATTGTTGTGGAGTGGTATAATTTCTGCTAGGAAATTTGCATTTGCATTGCAAGGCTGCAGAATAGGAGTTATGAAGGCCTTATGCCTCCCAACAAGATGAATTCCAGCATTAATCTGTAGTGTTCCCCCTCCCCCCAATGCACAGGGTTCCAACATAGCCATATGCAGTAACATCATCCCATTAGAGCTTAGTGGAAGGGGACATTTCTGTAGTGGTGTGGTGTGGAGGGGAGTTGTACAGTGCATCTGTAAAGTAGGATGTTACCAGTAAATGATTTGTATTCTGTGCCAGTATGCACACGTGTATCATTGCACGCTTAATTTACTATGTATATATTACTTGTATTACCTATTCTACTCTGTTAAGATTATGTTAATATTTATTGTACATATATCAATTGTTACTTTATATTTATAGTTTTGGATATTTTAATATTCTTATTTTATATATATATATATATATGATTGGTTTTATTGACTTATTTATATTTGTTTGATATTTATTGATCTTTATAACCTAAAACTACTGATATTCTTACAATTTTTACTCTGTTGTGTCCACTGTGTATGTGCCTATTTGATGATATTAATCAGTTTTCTCGTATGTTTTATGGTGTGGTATGTATTTGAGAATAACATGACAAATTCTGTATCCTTATTTTGGATTTTGAATGAAATAAAATTATAATAAACATAATACAATTAGGATGACAACTGATGTTCCTGATTTTGTTACAGATTGTAGGTAATAGCACTTTATTGTTGCATGTGATGGTTTATGTTCATATATTCATGTTTTATTAATATTTATATATGGCTAACTGTTATGACATTGCACAATTGTTATGCAGTATGTAATTACGCTTACTCATGTTGACTACTTCTATATCCGTGGTGTTTTGAAACAACCATGTAAGGATTTATGGAATGCTGAATAAATATCTAATATCTATCTAATTGATTTGTGATGAATAAGAATATATAATTATTACATAAAAGTACAGAATTAGTTTTAATTTTTTGAAATTGTGTTTCTTGCATTATGTAGGTGCATCGGGAAAGATACTTTCAAATTATTGGTGCATTTGTCGCAATGAAAGATATTTACTTTCATTAATAAAACTGCCGAAGCATTAAGAATAGTGTATTTCAGCATCATATTGTGTTTGAATAACTTATTGGTTCCATCACCGCAGTACATGTATAAACTTTATATATTGTCGCGTGTTTGCAAGTCAAGGCAACGAGAAATGCGCACGACAAAGAAAACTTGTACGGTCTGTCTCATATGATGACTGGAATTAAATGTACATCACTTTCACATCCAAGCATTATGATGTAAATTTAAAATAACTTGCTTAAAGGAACTGTAAGGCTTCTTTCTTCTCCACATCATGTACACTAAAGTACATGCCTTAGTTGGCCCCAAATTACACTAGTTTGAGACACCATGCTGCAGCAATGGAATATACTTTTACATTGGCTGTGGAAGTGACTGTACATAGAAAGTATCATTTTTCATAGTTCTGAATCTCACCACAAGTGCACTTCACTTTGCTGTATTATTTAACTTTAGGATACAGTAACCAGTTTTGTATGCTCTTGTTTTTTGTGTATGCAACAGTTTACAACATCTCAGGTTGTACCAGTGAAATTATTGTCACAGTTTGAAGTAGTTCTGGTTTCACTTGGTTTTATTTTCTTTACAGTAGGCTCATGTTGGATCTAGTAATTATAAATTAATAGTGAATTCTGAGCAACGTGCTCATAAATGACATGAATGCTAAAAGGCCTCAGGTACACAGTTTCAAATTGTATGACCAAAGCTTATTGGTTTGGAGTGGCCGCAGTTTCAAAATAATGGTAGGTGATGGGAGCGGGTTGGAGTATATATATATTGTCACGATTTAGGGGTGTGACTATAGGTGTGGTTTTGGGTTGGTGAATGGGTTTAATGGCCACTTGGAATTACACTTTACAGATCATTGGCACACACAGACTAGTTTCTTCAGTCTATTACATCTCCACTAGCCATTTCCTGGCAGTGAATTTAACACAGGAACTATAAGAGTTTCACGCTTCAGATATCACACATAGAGACTTCTTTTCACAGCTACACTCTTGCTAAACTCTTTGTCAGCTGACAGGTCAACTAACTGGTTCCCAAGCTGGTAGCCATTTCACACCAACCTCCTAGTTTTATCTTCTCAGGCTGACTTTCAGCTGAACTGTCTGTCAACTGAACTCTCACTCACCAACCAGCTACTTCATGTCACTTCACTTCACTGAACTGTTGACAACTGACTGCAGCTCTGCTGGTGTCCTCATTATGTAACTACAGGGGCAGACCCAACAGAAAACAGCACCTCCAGCAATCCTTTTATTGTCATGGGTGGTTGCCTAGTGATTGACTTGGTATCTTTTCTGCGGGAACAAGTCTACTGACTGTTGCTTAGAAACAGGTGTTTGTTTATCACCTTATTTGCATAGCAATGACTGTACATGTCCATTTTGAGATTTCTGCCCAGAAACATTTTTTCTGAGAGTTGTGCTTGCAACCTCTGCTTGGTCTCGCCTTCCTTCCTGTGGCTTAGTTTTTCTCAGTGTTTACTCTCCAGCCACGCCTGCTGCTCCATCTTTAAGGCCTGTCATCCAAAGCAGGCCCCTTATTGGTTGCCAGTTGGTCCAGGTTTATCACCATCATCCTCCTCTGGTTGCTGCACTCAAAAGTTCTAAGAGTGGTCATTACTCCTACATTTATGGCTCCTGTTCTGTGTGCTGTCTCTTCTTTCATTTCGGAGGGGGACAACTCCTCCACAGTGTTCAGCCACTCATTTTCTGCAACTTTCTGGGAATCCTGACTGCTGCTTCATGACCTCCAAATGGAGAATTTATATGAGGGTCTCATATGATGTCTTCTGGCTTCCCAGATGTAACTTCTGTCACCTGCTTTGTCCTCTGATGCTGTTGCCAGTTGTTCTCTTCTTCCACAGACATAGCTGCTCCTTTATGTCTTGATTCCTTGTTCCTTTGCTGCCTTTCTGGCATGCCTGTTGTCTTGAGAGGTTGTCCTTGCAATAATGTACTGACCTTGTCCCTGATGGCTGTGTCCCTTATGTCATGCAGAAGAGCCATGATGGGTCATCCCTCTGCAAGCAGTAGCCAACTTCTTCTGGGACCCACCATTGCCCTGGGTCCATTTCTTCATCAGACCGCCATGCCTTACAGCTAGATGGCAGTCCCTGTATTGCTTCCTCAACACTCTGACAATTTCCACTGCAGCCTCTTTCTTAGGGACCTCCTCGTGCACTGTCACAAACTCTATCTCCACTGAGGTTGGCTTCTTACTTGCCAGACAGGCCTTTGTCACTTCTTGGCAGACCATTGTCTCTTTTCACCATACCCTCATTTCTGCTAACAAGGCTTCAATCTTGGCTTCAAACTCTTCCATGATTGCTAGCAGGCTTTCTGTCATTTGTTCCATTTTGTAGGCTGATGATACAACGATCTAAGATCCAATGCAGTTTCCAGTCCGACCAATTCTGACACAATATGTAATCTCTGAGAAATAACCAGTACTGGCAAACAGTTCGCAGCTCCTCCAGTCCTCAGTATCTCTTCCAGTTTTCCAGCACTCTTTAATTTTATAGATAAATGTGTAAAATTAAGAACAAGTCAAGTGTTGTAATAGTATGACAGAGGAGTCTGAGAAAAACAACTATATATTTTGTTGTCAGTTACTGTTTCCAGTGATGATGGTGTCACCAGCCATAGTTGCAGGATTTTGCCATATGAAATATACTATACTGTGAAATAGGTCCTTTGATTTTGTAGGCACATTAGTGTGTTTGGACAGATCAGTATTAGAAGTTTGCACCAAATTATTATATGATTTAATATATACTTGATTAAAATGAGTGATTATATGTGACAGAATTTACTTGAATTTTTGCAGGTCCAGAGAGGAAGTAGAAGCGTTCAGATCTGCACACCAGATTACTGTGAAAGGAGATGCACCTAATCCCATCCAACACTTCGAGGAAGTAAATTTCCCTGATTATGTGGTAAATGAAATTAGGTAAGAGGTTGTGTTGTATGGGAAGTGAGAAAATATATAATGTGGTCACTGCCATGATGTTGCTCAAAGTTGTCATATAATGATCAAAGTTCAGTACTCTAAATCATAAGTGGAGGTCCCCATTCTTTCTGACAATAACAACGGGATGACCACAGTGCTCCCCAACTCTTCTATAACCCCATGACATTGCATATCAGGTATCTAGCATACTTCCGCATGTTTTGCTAAGTGTAGCATCCTCAGGGTTTGGTGAATTGGTTGGGTCTCTAGTGTGTCCGCAGTTGTACACTCTGTTGGTCTGTCTGTAGTAATCACTCTTCATAGCAAAGATGTCTCAATACTTGGTAAGGAGATCTTCCTACTCTCTGGATTCAGCGTCACTCAGGTTTGGCCTGGCTGCTGCAGTTGCATCCTGCAACTTTGGTGTAGAGTCTTGGACTTGCAGTTATTCAACATTGGGTGGGGTCATGAGCGTGACTGGCTGACAGTGTGCCAGGAGGGATCCTTTCATGAGCTTCTCATCATGATTTGTAGCATTCAGGACCTTCACAGGTACCTCCCAGCTGTCTCAGACCAGGGTCCTGGCTATGTAGAGTCTTTTGGGACCACGGGACTCCATACTCGGTTCTACCAGGCCATTTTCCACTCCAAGGGGCTCTCTAGTTGAGGCAACACCACTTTTCGCATTGTGCATGTATCACCTGGTCACTGGCCAATACCAGACTGGAAGGCCAGGCTCCCACCCCAATGCTCCATAGTGATACCTCCACCTGTGAGATACGCAGCATTTGGTGCCTGGGTCCACAGATGCATTGTATGCGCAAGGGGATGTCCAGATACCCAGATTTTGACTGGGTGCTGCCCCATGTTCATTGTCAGGAAAACTTCCTCCAAGATGGGGATGGCTTTCTCAGATACTGCCTCTAGTATGCAGAGTTGGTTCAGCTGTCTTTCAGGCAGTCCAGTGGTGATGTCAGTCCTGGTGACAGTCATGTATGTCCCATGACGGTCATGCCACATGGTTTGTCACCGACCCAGCCCTGTGCGACTAGGCTAGGGTTGGCCCATTTTGTTATGACAGCGCATGTTGGGCGGGGGCTGCTTAATTTGTGCACTGGCATGCTCCCTCTTCTGCCAGTACCCACTCCTTTCCCGATAGCTGGCCATCCCTCCTGTCCAGCTGTCTGTTGCTTCACGGTCACCATTCAGTCATTTTCTGCTTTTCCTATGTCTCTTGGAGGTCTTCCGTCCTGTTACTCATGCCAGTCTTTGTTTTTTTGCCTCCCTCTCATAGGGACAGCTACCCAAGAAGTGGCCTGGCTCCCCACAGCTCCAGCATGCCACCTGTCTTTGCTTACTTAACCCGGTATGGGGCAAACATCTCTCCCAGAATATCTGGTGCCCGTTTTTTGGGCCTGGCAGCTTGGAACACAGTCTGCAGCTCGAGGTCATTGGATTTTTCCAGTTTACCTAATCCTTCCAGCTTCACTATGGCCCTGGGGTTGACTCAGCCTCTGACAGAAATGAGTACCAGGAATTTTTGGGGGGGTAAAGGGCTGCTGGTGCATAAGGCTGACAGCCTTGCTGCCATCTGTAAGCCAGTTGTTTACATGATGTGGGAGCTTCGATGTCCCACAACCCTTTGGGCCTTCACAGCTTGTTACAGGGATAGCTTTACCTTTTTCTACTGCTGCCTTCTCTTAACCTTTAACGGCCGAATGTTATAATTATTCGCATCAAGTAGCACCCCGAGCTGGCCGAATGTTATAATTTTTAGGGACAAGCCACGTGCTTCCTTTGTGAGTGCTGGCAGTTTGACCTTGGGTTTGAAACCCAAACAAACTCATGAACTTCATGTCAGATGTTTATTTGTTAGCTCTGAACAATGAAATCGTTTATCATGGTACTGGTTTCGAAACTATTTACGTTTAGATATGACTGTTTATGACCTGGTGAGCCAATAGAGGTCAGCTTTGTTTTGAGAAGTTAGAGGAGGAAATATTCGTAAGCACTTTCATAGCAGTGCTGCCAGAGCTTTCAAGGAAGTGTGGCTCATTCAGGGATTGGTTTGCAGTGTTGAATTCTCAGTTAGGACGTCAGTGGCGGATTTACTATATTTTGTTAAAAGTTAGGAAGTCAGTGTCAGACTCCTGTATTTCTTTTATATCATTTTTATTGTGTATCTCGGAAGTGGTATAAATACACTGAGCCAGTGTTACTTTGTGCGTAAAGACATCTTCGTCACCGTGACTTTCGGTATCAGTGGCGGACTGGCACTTTTCGACTGCTTTTGCAATTACTTTGCATCACAATTTTGCGAGTATTCTTCCACCTAATAGACATGTCTATTCTCAATGAATATCTGTTACACAAGTCATGTGATGGAAAAATGACGCACAAAAATTTCCGCGAAATTTTGGTGCGTGATTTTCTATATTTTGTAAAAAGTTACGAAGTCAGCGTCAGACTCCTATATTTCTTTTATATCATTTTTATTGTGTATCTCGGAAGTGGTATAAATACACTGAGCCAGTGTTACTTTGTGCGTAAAGACATCTTCGTCACTGTGACTTTCGGTATCAGTGGCGGACTGGCACTTTTCGACTGCTATTGCAATTACTTTGCATCACAATTTTGCGAGTATTCTTCCACCTACTAGACATGTCTGTTCTCAATGAATATCTGTTACACAAGTCATGTGATGGAAAAATGACGCACAAAAATTTCCGCGAAATTTTGGTGCGTGATTTGATTCTTCAATCACATGAGGCGAATATCACGGTCAGTGGTGTTTTTCGAGGGAGGCCAAGTTCATCTGGGGCCCAACTGAGTCGACTGGAGGTGAAACATTCAAAACACTGACCAGCTAAAGGGAAACAAAGACGTTTGTTCTATAAACAAGAAAAGCGGGAGCACGCTTTACCGCTGTAGAGTGTGATGTCGCGCTGTGTGATGGACTGCTTCGAGAGTGGGACACGCGCGTCAGAGTGAAACTGTGAAGCGATGCAGTCCAACCCGTGTACAGTCCGAACCAAATATTATTGTATATAGTGTCGTCATATTTACATCGCCACCACGATTCAAGGTTGAAGAAAAACAATAGGTAAGTCCTTTGGAATTTCATAACGTATATAATAATGATTATATTTTGCACTTCATGACAAAATACTCACAGTTGATTTTCATTTGTAAAACTTGCCCTTTTGTATATATGTAGAAAATTTTATTGTCTTTCAGGTTCTTTTTAGTTCATATTCCGATGTTGCATAGAACGGAAAATATGCATTTTTTTCTGAAAGTTTGCAATGTTAAAGACTTAGGGCCATTTAAATTCCGGCCGTAGGGAGCTGCAGGCAATTTAAAAGTCCGTACGTTAAAGGTTAATCATCAGTTTCTGTATTATTGTTGTCAGTACAGGGATCCTCAATTTTCTTAATTGCCCATCATCCTGTGCATCCTCCTCAGATGTGAATGTCACATTCATTATTTCCTGAAATCTTTCCAGATGTGTGAACTTCTGAGTCATCTTCGTCTTTGTTGTGTAGTTCTGATGTTTCACAGAATCCGGCATTCGAATAACAGTTTGAATTAATTTCCCAGCTGACAGCATTCCATGATCTGCAAGCATGGATATGGAATCAAACGAAAATACTTGTAGCATTCTTTGGTGATTGTGATTCTGTGTGGGAACATGAAGACAAGGCACCTGGTGCTTATGTTTCAAAGACCTAATTATGCCTTGGTCCAATGATTGTAGGGCTGATGTTGTGTTGGCTGGTAGAAATTCCACATTTCTTGATTTTCTGGTTTATTTTGCACGTTATGTACAGTGATGTAAAAACAGCTTTTTTTTTAGCTGACATCATTCTTTCCAAATGTAATAACTGCATGAATATGCACAAGTTATTCATGTGCTACAGTTAATGCCATATATACATGAAAGGGTCTTCAGATGTGTGGAGCAGCCTGGCTTCTCTGACCTTCAGTTAACAGCAGTAACATTGTCAAATCCATCCATGTTTGCACATAGAAGTACAGTAATTCTTTCCTACTCATGCCCCATGACAGCTTTCATCTTTGAAAACAAGAGTCTTGTATGGGAGTAGGTTGAAAAATAAATGCCACTCATCTGCATTAAATAAGTGCTCATGCAGCGTTGATGGAACTACTTCCATCTTCCAGGCTTTTACTTCCTCTTCAGTTATACTTCTGAATTTACTGCTAATGGTTCTGTAGCTAAGCTCTGCACATTTTCTGAATTGATCAAGCCATCCATTCAAAGGCGTGAATTCAGTTTAGTGTGACACTGGTATGCTAAGTTGTTTTGCAAAGTTTGTGCACAGCATGTGTGGTTGAACATCAAACTTCTGAATGTTCTCCACTTTCTCAGAAACTGCTATTGCCATACATTTTATGTTTATTTTTGTAGTAATGCATAGAGCAATATGAGGTGCTATTGGAAAGTTACCAAACTGGATAAAGAAAAAGAAATGCTGGCTTAACTTAATTTTGGCTGTCATCTCCTTCAAAATAGTCTCCTTGGGAACCTATACAGCAATCTAATTGTTTTTTTTTTTCACATTGAATAAGATTTGTGAACCTTTTGACAAAGTAATAACCATGTAAGGTTTTTTTTTTTTTTTTTCAAGTTTGTTAATGATGCTGTCAGTATTGAGACTAATGTCATTCATAGGATGGTTAATGCATGTTCAGAGATTTATGGAATGAGATTTGGGAGGGGAAGTTACCATGTAATTAGGTATCATATGCACCAAACTGCTATTGTCTGCCGTCAGACTTCTTGCAAAGTGTGTTGTGTTTTTTGTGTGCTTTCTAAATCTCTTGTCAGATTTGTTGTTTATCATAGGCTCTTGCAAGACATACAATTGCAATGATATTCCAAGTCTGGTATAAGTAAAGAATATCTGGCCTGCTGATGAGAATGTATGTATGTACATTTTTGCAGAAAGTCTGGATTTGAATCACCTACAGCTATCCAGTGTCAGGGGTGGCCAATTGCCATGAGTGGTCGTGATCTGGTGGGAATAGCTCAAACTGGCTCTGGGAAGACATTGGCTGTAAGTATATCACCAGTTTCTGGAGAAGGCTTTCATTAGGATAATAATAATTTATTACCATGGTTATTACATTCATTCATGTGGCCTGCAACATGGTGATGTTTGATTTGGCTGTAGTATGTAACTGCTACAGGTTGACTACCGATAGATAATGTTGTGTTACACAACCACAGAGTGTTTCTTGTTTTGACAGTGTCCTATTGAAATTCTCCATCATTGTTCTGCTTAACCCTTTGACGTTGTCATTTAAATTCCGCGGCCGCGGCTCCTGCGGTAATATATTCAGCCGGCCATTTAAATTTTGCTCGAAAATGATTTATTCATCATTGTTCTTAAATTCTATGAGATAGGAACATGAAACTTTCACTAAAATGATCTTAAAAGGTGGTTTTATAAC